CAACTCGTTTCCTTATCCACCATTATTACGTCCTCAATCTTGTTTATGTTCATACTCCCCACCGTCTTTTATTAGTCAAATTTTTGGATAAGCTAAAGCTTCCTCAATTATATCTACAATTTGCGTTGCTTTCATACCTTCTACCAACCCAGGCATGAGAGTGTGTGTGTGTATCAACCTATTCTTGGTACAATCCGAGATTAAAAGAAATATATCTTATACTATATTTGATTTTTATTCAAAAAATTGGGTCGAATCGATTTTCGATATATCACTAAAACGAAAAAGAACTAAAAAATTTTAAGAGAGAAAAAAAAACAATAATGTTATATATTTTTTTAATTTGTTTTGTTGAAAGGGATATCGGAAAGCACTCCCTAAACAAAAACACGTGACTTTTTGTTTTTCAATTTTAAATTCTAACCACAATATTAGAAATATCCCTTTTGTAAAATTTATTATGTATATATAAATAATTTTATTTTCCTTTAGTCGCCTTATCCAGTTTGAATATGTTTTTCATAAATTTCTTGTTGGACAAGCGAACGAGGTTGTAGAGAAGCGCCACATGGGTGACGCAGAGGAGAAATATAGTTTTTTTTATATATTATTATTATTATTTAATTTTGCTTGATTGCCAGATGAGATGATTTGAACATGGTTGGCCTTGGAATGGACACAGGCGCAGACATCCGTGCGGTGGTTGAGTTCTGTTTGAAGGTAAAATGTGCAGGGCTTGTTTCTTCTCTTTTTAAATTCCAACTATTTTGACTATGTTGACTTTTATATTTATACAAAAAAATATATATGCATTTAATTCGATTTTTCATATATAAAAGATTAAAATGTGGTGTAATATTTAAAAGATTTTTAAAATTATTAAATTTTTATAAATATTTTTTTATTATATTCAATCAAGTTATTATATTTTTATTTTTAATTAAATTAAATAAAATTATATAATTAATAATCGACTAAATATTATTATTCAAAATACTATTTATCATTTTATATCATATTGATATATCATAATATATGTGACATAATATGATGATATGATCACGTGATATTTTTTACTTTTCATATTAACGTTACTTGAATATAAAATGACAATTCATATTTTAATTAATACCAATTAATCAACTATTAATTATAAATATTTATTTTATTAAAAATAAAAATAAAAAATTTAATTAAAAATAATCGAAAATAAAAAAAAATTAAAATAATTTAATAACTTTTTAAAATATTATATTTCAATTGTAAGTTATTTTTATTTTTTCGTGTTGGTAGAAGATGAAGACAGACTTGAGTTGTAATAGTGATAAAAATTGGAAGAAATCAAAGTAATATTGAAGCCGATAAACTCCATCATGAGCTCTCTTGTGAATCCATATGGATTGTTCATACCATTCACCAATCATCTCTCATTATCGTTTCCTCATACCATATAGACAAAAAAAAAGGGTATAAATTTGTTGTGATTAAAATAAAGTGTTTCAATCTTGGTAGATAGAAATGTTGGGATTTGCAAAGATTTTTATTTTTTGAAGAAGGAATCTTAAAATTCAAGAAACAATTTAGAATCAAGGTTCAAACAAAAACAACCAAAGCAGTATCAATCCCTATGGTTATTCCATGTATACCACAGCTTATTGTGGCTTCTCCATTTTATTTATTTATTTATTTTTGGTTTTATTACAGCAGTTACCAACAACGACGACAACAACAAACAACCTACTGCTACTAGTGTTTGCATGTTCTTGAGACGAGAGTGGTTTAATGATTGGGGCCCAATTCCTCATGCTTGCACATGCAATTCAGCTGTCCATATCCCTTGATTTTTGCAGCCATTTTCTTTAACCTTTTTGACTAGATTTTGTTCTACATCTTGGGTTGACAATGCCCTGTTTTTGGAGACTTCTGCAACTTATGTCCCATATTCACCCTCCCAAAGTACCTTGAATTAAGGCCATTTTGACATGCATGAGCATCTTATTTTATTTTCATGACCAAGATTTCCTTTTTTGTCGCATCATTACATCACATCAGAGGTTATATATATATATCTAAGTTTTTTATTTAAGAAATGAGTTTAAATAGTGATAAGCTCAAAATTCTACACACAAAATAATTAAAAGGATAAGATAACGAAATTTTATATAAATAATAATAAAAAAATTAAAAATTGAGAAGTGATTATCGTCACCCTCGTCATCATCTTCGATTCACCTTTGAGCTTTAAATGATTTGGTGCCAAAGAAACCATTTTACCACTAAAAGTTATATCATAATTATTATTATTATCTTCTTAACACCTTTTCCTTGAGTAAAGCATGTTATATATATATATATTCCAAACCTTTGATTGAACTTAAGATGATCAAGGGAAAAGCTGTAGCAAAATTCAATCATGTACCCAATATATAGATATATATATATATATATATATCATGTACCATAATTATGTAATTGCAATTATAAAGTTGATGCATAATTCTCAAATGGAAAAAGAGGTGGCATTAAACTATGAACATATGGGTTCTAGGATAATATTTTCATGATATGATCAACAATGGCCTATTTTCATTTTCTTTTTCTTTGCCCTAATGTCAAGCTTAGTGAGATTGGACCAAGTATACAAGAATAAAACTATAATCATCTTTTTCCCTTAAAAAAAAATTCTAACTCTAGGCCGCCAAAGTCAGTTCTTTTCAGACTTTTGGGCACTTCTGTTTTCTTTTTGTGTAGATTATTTCTTATCCAATCCAAAGAGAGACAACAGAAAGTGGGGGCTTTTCCCATCCCACGCTTCGCGCTGGTTTCTTATTCATCTCTCTAAAAGACAAATCCTATTTTGTCCCTTTATGTAATAAAAAAAAATAGATTCTTTTGCCTTAATGGGTTTTTTTTTTCAAATTAAAACTATTACATAATTCCACTTCTTTTTTTACATTAAGATTTAATTTGCTTTGAATAATTGATCCAAACATATATACATGTATAGAAAAAATAACTATTGATATTTTTGATAGACGCTCGTGCTTAAAAATCTAATGAATTATTTATAAAAATTTAAATAATCTTTTATTATTGTATTACGTCAATTAAATTTTTTATTTTTATTTTAAATTAAATAAATTTTTATAATTAACAGTTAACTAATTATCATTAATTAAATCTCTATTTGTTAATTTATATCCTGTGACATGTCATAATAGATGATATTATAACATGATTATATGGCAGATGACATAAACATATGTCATTTCTATCTTTTACGTCAATCTTATGTCTTCATCATAAAAATATAAAATAATAAATAATAATTTAACAAATAACAATTAATTAGCCGTTAGTTATAATAACTTATTTGATTCAAAATACAAACACAAAGAATTGATTAAAACTTAATAAAAAAATAAAAACATATTTAATTTTTTAAAATAATTCAATGACTTTTTAAAACTTTATACTTTTTTATATAAATTATTTATTTCTTTTTACACTAAAAAAACTAAATTAAACTCTACTTTCCTCTTCCCTTTAAATTTCTTCAAAAAGTGAACCTATAACATGTACAACCTAAGCATAAAAGAGTTTTGTGTTTATGTAAATTTAATGTAATAGTTTATGGACTAATTATGTAGCCATCCTAGGGATCATGTTAGGTAATTATGAATATCAATTGATGTTAAGACACTTGCTTTAAATAATTAATTAATTATTAAGATTTTGCAAGTCCTCCGTTAACGACCAAGTCAATTTTACAAATTTTTTATATAATTGCCATTTTTGTTGGATTAAATATTGTAGTTGTCAATGCAGATGTCCCAATCTCAATTCTCAAACTAATCATCCGATACTTGCCTTCCCGCCAAGACACGCCACTTGTCGTTTCGATGGAGCAAGTTGATTCCTTTGATACATAAATAATCGAAAGGTTCTCCATTGTAATCCACCAAAAAAAAGAAATATAAAAGTTTTTTTAATTTTTGGGAAATAATAAAAAGAAGAAACTACAAAATATAAAAAATAAATAACAAAACTATCAAGCAAATGAAGATAATGCAATAATAATACTCAAGATTTAATATTTTGTAAAAATTACTTAATGCATGATTCCTTTCACTAAAATAGATTATCGATGTATAATCTCAACCAGAGTTATCTATTGTTTGAATTTAGTTGATATTTATAAAATTTAGGTTGATCTTAAAACATATAAAAATAAAATTATTAATCACTCTTTAAAAGATTAACTTGATATAAGATAAGACGGTGAAATATCAAGTTTATAAATTTATTATTTTTATATGAAAATTTAAAACACTTTACATATAATTTTTTTAAATTTTAACTTGACATTTTCTTTTACTTGATTCGATAATATTGTTTCTTTTATCTATTTTTTTGTAAAGATGTTTGTTACGAATCGAAGTTTAAGTTTGGTCGATTAAGATATTATTATATATTAAAATTATTATTATTTCTTAAAAAGTTAGTTTAATGAAATACATAATATCGGTATTTATAAATTTCTATATCTGCTTCCCGTGACATTGAAACATTTTCTTCAAAATGTTTGACGGAGCACTTGGGGCTGTCTTTAATCTTTTGAACACCAACAGACAGTAGTGATCTCACCTCGTGAAGGTGAGATAAACATCCATAAGAATTTGGGAATACCTTTTCTCTACAGGATAATTTTGAAAATAAATTACTGTATATTATATATAAAATTAAATAAAAAAAAGATGAGCTTTAAAATGTAAATAAAACAGAGAAAAGTTGGGAAGATGAAGTCAGGCATATGTGTCCGAAAACGATACCTTCTTCACTTGGCATACCCAACCAAACCCAACGTTGATTACAGCTGTATTCACGTCCTCTCTCTCCTCAAAATTTTTTGTTTATTCTCTTAATAATTTATTCATCTAACCTAATTATTCCCACAAATATATTTCTCTCTCTCTTTTTTTTTGTATTTTGTCTTTCCTCCTAGAACTAAAAAACAAATGCTTTACTTTCTCCGTCTATTTCGTGACAAATTATGCAAAAAATAATATATATAAAAAAGGGTATCTTTTGGATGGATGTACAATATTTACACATATGCATAGAGAGAGAGAGAGAGAGAGAGAGTAAACGAAGGAGAAAGAGAGAGATTTATAATGGGAAGGAAAATAGAAAATAAAAAAAAAGGAAAACAGGGAGCTTCCTCGTGATCTGTGAAGAGTCTTACGTGAAAACCCAGATTGCCTTAAAGCCTTCTTTTAAAGCCTTTGGAGAAAGCCTTCGTTCCTTGTTCTTTGGTCTTCTTCTTCCTTGGACACCCAATTATTGCTCACATTCTTTAAAAAGCTTAGTTCCTTTTGGAGAGGGAGGAGGAAAAGAAAATTTGTTTTTGGAGGAAAAAACGGAAAAAAGGAAAGGATTTTTGGGACTCTGGGGAAATGATGTTGTGATGTTTTCCTTTTTGGGAAATTTGTTTCCTTGAGCTTTTGTATGAAGAAAAAGCTTCATTCAAAGGTGGGTTCTCTTTCTATGTTTTTTGGATGTAAATTTATTTCCTTTTTGTTGGGATTTCACGTTAATATAAAATTGGGTTTTTTTTTTTGGTTTCTTTGTGTGTGTTTGTATGTGTGTGTGTGTGTGTTGTTTTTAGGCGGCTTTGACTTTTATTAGTTGGTTGGGTGCAGATTATCAGCTGGTCTTTTAGTTGGGTTTTAATGTTTTTGTTTGGTTTGCAAGTAACCAACGCATATTTGTTGAAATTCAATGTGAGTCTTCCATTTTAAGTTGATATTCTATGCGGGATTTCCATTTTAAGTGGGAATTTGGTAAGATTTCCCTTTTGAGCTCGAGTTAGAAGGCATTTTTTTTGGGGGTTGGTTGATGGAAATGTATGCTAAAAGAGAAGAATTTGGAATTCTAAGCACTATATTTCTTGTTGTTTTTAAGTTGAGATTTTAATAAACTAAAGTCTCTTTACTCATCGAAGCTTAATTATGGTAGCTATTGGCTTAGTTGAGGTCAATTTTCTGTTTTAGGAGAAACTTTAAGGAGCCAGAAGGATAACTGAAGCGGGATTGGATTGTTAAATGCAGAATGAAATTTTAGTAAGGATGCAGAAGTCCCTGTTAATTTATATGGTCAATTTCATGAGTATAGAATGATAAATAACGTTAGTTTAAGAAAATTGATCATAGATGGCTGGCTTCCTTGCTTGACTGCTTCTAGGCATATTCTTTTCTTATGGCTGTGTAGAACATGAGGTGTCCAGTAGTTCTAGGATCTTTAGGAGTCTTTTTCACAGAAACCATAACACAGGATTTCCTTCTGAAAGAAGTAGCAAACATGTTGAATTCAGTTCTTTCCATGGTTTGCAATGATGTCAGCTTTTGCTGCTACTTCTATTTGGCACATAGCTATTGTTACATTGCAAGAGTTTTAGATCTATTTCAACTGGAGGATTTCTCCCTTTCCAGTTCTTAGTCTTCTATGAGCTACTTGATTTTTTGTTATTTTCAAGTGATTTTTGATGTTCTGTTTGAACCATTTCTGAATTATCTGGAAAGCTTTGAACTTATAGGAGAATAAGAACAAAAATAATAGAAGCACATAGGTGCATGCAATTCCCTTTAAGAGGCTATTTGCTGATCTTGGAAACAATTGGCAGTGCGACATTGCTTAATCCTGTATGGATGTTCACATTAATTGTTAGGAGATCCTGGGGTTTTCATTTCATCTGTTGAATTTTGCATAAGTTTTAGCAAAGGGTGCAGAGAGACGAAATGATCAGACCTATGTTTAGGATAAGATTCATGTGTGTCCCTGTAACTGTCATATCATATTGATCATGGCCTGAAATACTCTGACAAAGAAACTGTTCGTTTGTTCATTGTTGCTGAAAATGCCAAGGAAAGTGACTTAGCTTTCTAGTTTCTAGTATATGATGTCAGGATGGAACATCAAGCTTTTGAACTCGGCAAGATCATCTGACTGTTGCTTAGGGTTGGAATCTTATATGCTGACATTGGATGTTTGTTTAGTTTGGGACCTGTATTTTCCATGTCTTAATAAATAACTTAGAAAATATAGGATTGCATCAATAAATCCTACTATTTGTTTTCTTTCCTTGCCAAAGGGGTTTTGATCAGACATTTATCATGTGGAAGAAATAAGAAGGTCCTCTTATCTGCATTACTACTGGAGCCTTTTATCATTCTATTCAAAATATTAGGTTGAGGTAGTTAACAAGGATGACATGGTCCATACCAGCATAATGTATATGATAATACATATGTTGGTGTGTGTTTCCCAGAAAACACTGACTAAACTATTGCAAGTACTTGACTGACTTCAACCAAAAATTTTCTTGCTTAGGCTACTCTATTGCACCACCTATATGTCACGTTGTCAACTTTCCTATTTAATTAAACTGATTTCAATTTGAAGTTATTAGCACTGTATCACCTAGTGAGGCAATAAGTTTGCTTCAACATTCTTTTGAGTTTGTTTTTGTGATCTAATCTTCACATGCCTTCTGAAATGACAGGGTTGTTGAGCTGTCATAGCTTAAAGCTTTTTATTCAATGGGGAAATATTTGTGACAATAATGGATCCTCAGGCTTTCATCAGGTTGTCAATAGGCTCACTGGGTCTGAGGATTCCTGGATCAGCCCTGAATTCTTCAAAAGCTGGAATTCATGCATTCTCTTCCCCATGTTCCTGTGAAATACGACTCCGAGGTTTCCCTGTGCAAACAACATTGATTCCCTTAGTATCCTCACCTGAAGCTACACCTGATATTCACAGCATTGCCTCTAGCTTTTATCTAGAAGACTCTGATGTGAAGGCTTTGCTGACACCTGGCTGTTTCTATAACCCCCATGCATATCTGGAGATTACCGTTTTCACAGGGAGGAAGGGGTCACATTGTGGTGTTGGAGTCAAGAGACAGCAGATTGGAACATTCAAGTTAGAGGTGGGTCCTGAATGGGGTGAAGGAAAGCCAGTGATTCTTTTCAATGGATGGATTGGCATTGGCAAAAACAAGCATGAGAATGGAAAACCAGGAGCAGAACTTCATTTGAGAGTAAAACTGGATCCTGATCCAAGATATGTATTCCAGTTTGAAGATGTGACCATGCTGAGTCCTCAGATAGTACAGCTTCAAGGCTCCATCAAACAACCAATTTTCAGTTGCAAATTTAGTCGAGACAGGTGATGTAAAACTATAAATTTCTGTCTTCCATTTGTTGAAGTTAAACTTTTGAAAAGCGTCAATTCCTCAGGCTGTAAAATATATTTGGACCCATTTAGATGACGCTTGGAAATAATATCTAGGTTGGCTAGGGAAGTTGTAAAATTGGAAACTAATCCGAACTTGCTAAAGGTAATAATGAGAGGACAATTTAAGATATATATAAAAATTTCCTGATAGGTGGTATATTGGCTCTTATTGATCTTTGTTTTACCTTTTTTTATTTGGGGTTGGGTGGGTGGTTTACTGACTTTTTGTGGTCAAGAAATCAGAAACAATTCTTTGTTATTTTCTAGTCATTTGTTCATTGTTAATGAAACTTTTCATTGTTGTTTTGAACTGGCAGGGTAGCACAAGTGGACCCATTAAGCACTTACTGGTCAGGTTCTGCTGACAGTTTAGACATAGAGACAGAGAGAAGAGAGAGGAAAGGATGGAAGGTCAAGATACACGATCTCTCTGGCTCAGCTGTTGCGGCAGCCTTCATAACCACTCCCTTTGTGCCATCAACAGGTTGTGATTGGGTTGCCAGGTCCAACCCAGGAGCTTGGTTGATTGTTCGTCCAGATATTTGCAGGCCAGAAAGCTGGTTGCCTTGGGGAAAGCTTGAGGCGTGGCGTGAGCGTGGCATTAGAGACTCTATATGCTGCCGATTTCACCTCCTGTCTGAAGCCCAGGATGGAGCAGAGGTTCTCATGTCCGAGATACTTATTAGTGCTGAAAAGGGTGGGGAATTTTTCATCGATACGGACAGACAAATGCGGCAGGCACCAACTCCAATACCAAGTCCACAAAGCAGTGGAGACTTTTCAGCATTAAGTCCAATTGCTGGTGGCTTCGTAATGAGCTGCAGAGTCCAAGGGGAAGGTAAGAGCAGCAAGCCATTAGTGCAACTGGCCATGCGGCATGTGACATGTGTGGAGGATGCTGCCATCTTCATGGCACTTGCAGCAGCTGTTGACCTCAGCATTGAGGCATGCAAGCCTTTCCGAAGAAGGATAAGGAGAGGGTCCCGCCACTCTTTATGAAAAAGTAAAAAGAATTAAGGTGATTTATTTCCATGAACAAAGAATGGCTCTATTTGTGTTGATTTCTGTAACATTTGGCATTGTGTACAGGATCTTCTGGTTTCGACTGTTCAAAAATTGTTCAACACATTTATGGTGTCAGTACAGCCTACATGACACCTATCTATCCAGTCTTCTGGCTGGGGCCTTTGTACAGCTGGTGAGGTTATTCTGTTTTTCAGTTCTGATAGGCTTGGGGGAGATTGAATTTTTACCTCCCTTCACCCTCACTGAATTACCTCCTTGGGATGATTGGTAGATTTCTAGCTTTAGACTTAACCAAAGTCTAGTCTGCACCTTTGGCTGTCATTAGTGTCATGATGTTTCACTGCCAATGGTTAAAGCTTGAACCCCACTTCCACTGGTTATAATTGCCACTATTGTGTGATGAAACACTGGCATTATGGCACCTGAGTCAGATTAGGTGGCTGAGACAATTGACTCTTTCACCGGTCATGCAACCAAATGCGTGTACCAATTTCCGATTGTCGCTCACTAACGAAACATAACATAGCAAACCTAGATCTAGGAGTTTTATATTATATCTAATCTGATTCATTGAAAGCCTTGGGCTTGTACAAGGTTCTCAACGAGGCTTTGAACGCATAATGTGGAGCAAAAACCTTGTTTCCTGTTGATGCGTTGAGAAGTTAATTTTTTGTTATATCTATGGATGAATGGCCATTATGACACAACATAGCAAACTGTTTGTAATGGTCAAGTTACCATCTCATTTGGATTGTCGAATAAGTTGCTGTTTGCAGAGTGGTTGGGTTTGAAAACTTCATGGAGAAGACGGAAAATGTACGAGTTTTAAGGAAGCTGAGAGGGAAAACAATTCTGGGCTCCGCATTAATGAATAAGATGGTATGAGGGTCAAAAGATGTTCCTCCCATTAAAATGCCAGAAGCCTAGGTGCATCCCTTCCAAGATATTGAGCATAATACCAAGTATATGTGTTACCTTTAAAACATACAAGTTCCCATTTTTCGAGCTTGAAAGGCCTCACTTTCCGTAACCCCCATGCATTGAGCGAGGGTGCTGTCGAGCGTTCCCCTCTTCTGTGAATAACCTTCAGTAACATGAGGCATTGGTTCCCTGGCACACTGTTTTCATGTCATCACTAAATACCTCATAAAATAAGCATGACTTCCATTTTACACCCAGGATTTCGTTATCCATATAATGTGCAAAACCCAGACACAAAGAACCAATTAATTGGCATGAGCATAGCAACTTGTATTTGCAGACTTCACTTAGGAACATATAAGGCACGCAAGATATCAAGTTCAAAAGACATCTTAGCTGCATTCCATCCGCGCTGATAGTGGCTAGAAAGAGAAACGGTACATATAACAATCGTCCATCTATGTCAAATTTTTTGAGTTACAGCTAATGACAAGAAGCTGTATCTCACTAAGCCTCTGCTGTTTGAAACAACTTTTCAACCTCTGTCATAGTGCTTCGAGCATCTTCGAATTCTGGGCCTTCCTTCTCATTTGTTTCATCCAACTCAGCCTGATATTCAGCACGTAATTCATTAAACTTCATTCATATATAAAGGTACATCGATTACGGATAGGAAATTAGGAAACCCAAAAGCAACTGACTGTAGCAGCATAGTTTATAACCCAAATGCCATAACGAAGAATGAGGGACACTAAGAGAGATGGTGGGAATAGAACTCTTTCATTTCTATTCCATGTTAGTGCGAAGAATTTGGAAGTTAGTTATTGATCACTAAGAAAAACTTCAGCTCTAATTATTCTTCTCGACCTGAAGTACATCTGCAGATTCAGTTATACGCAGTGGGCAGTGTACATATATGGCCACCTTTCTCAACTACATCCGTGATCCATTTGTTGTAAGCCAGGAATACACCTACTTTAAGGAAAGCAGAGGTTTGGGACAATCCTTATAAATGCTATCAGGACCTACTTTAGCAAGAACTAAACACTGTTTGCATAGGCCATGGTAATATATTTCAATCATGGATTAGTCGGCAGACTTGATTGCCTGACCATCCATCCTTAGTGCAATACAAACTCCAATAATGAAACAAAGCTAATGAAATGATGTATGAATATCATTTCTCCATGCCTAACTGCTAAATCAAATTCAGCCGGGACCAAGTCATTAATATAATGTATGAAAAGCTGACTGGGGTTATCTATGGGACTCTTGCAGAACAAATGATGAAAAAGAATCATATCACAGCTCATTAGCAGCATATTCATCAAGCTCAATAACTTCAGCAAATACTAGTACTAAAAATAAATAACCAAGAGAGATAACAATGATAAAATGTACAACACCAGAGTTCCTTTAAGGTCAGCCAATGATGCCTCTAGACGCTTGCGACAATCAGGGATCATCATCCTTGATTCAGCCAGCACATTTTCCTGTAAGCAGATAATAATTTATATGTATGACCATAGGCAATGGATGAAGAAAACAATTTACATGCAGTAGTTCGAATTTCCAAATTATAGGTACTCATTTTAACCAGGTGAACTAGAATCGCAAATTAAAACTAACACGGGATTCCATAAATGGGTTTCCTCAACAACTTACACCCTCTGCAGAACCAAGAGTTCTATAAAGATCATTGTTAATGCAAAACAGTATTACCTGTTGCTTGAGGTCATAAGGGTCGGCTCCTTTCTCTTTCATGTCAGCTGTTTTTGCAGCTTCTCTTTCAACCTCTTTCTCATAGGAGTGCAGCTCCTTAACAATTCGTTTGCAAGTCGATGTCTTGATTTTCAGATTTCTAATTGTTGCCATGGCTAACCTGTAAAAGCAAATGCTTCCCATTACTGATTTCAACACCATAAATCAAAAGAAATGTCCCGCATGGCTTTGGTTCAATAAACGGTAAATTATTCATACTTTCCGCTCACATCTCTAGCCTCCTATTTACTATTACTTTCCTTACATTTTCTCGGAAACCAAACATATGGTTTGGGTTTTTCTGGGAGAAAAAGATTTGGGTCGGGGGAGAGTCGTTTGAGGAAGTAGAAAACTACTAACGATTATTGTTTTAAAATTTGAAGAGATGGGTTTGATCGATCTTGTTCGATAAATGCAAAGAAAAACCCAAAAAAAAGAAAGGGGAAACATACATACGTCTGGAAATGAGAGGGGATCTGAAGATGAGAGGACTGAGCACCAAGGATTTGAAAGTGAAAAGCAGGCCAAGGAAGAGAACATAGGGGATATTCGTAGGGCGGGGGGCCTTTTTTCTTTTCAGTTCTTTCCTTTTTTTAAAAAAAAAAAATCAAGGAAAGTTCAAATGGTTTAATGCATAATAATATCAGTGTGTAATGTAAATTTGAGGTTTTAAGTTTTGCATTTAACATATAATTGATTAAAAAATATCTTATTATTAATATTTTCAAGTTATTGTTTGGTATAAAAGAATTTTGATGCTTGTAATATAATAGGTACAAAATTGTAAAGTATTTGGCCATTTGGAGGACAATAGTTACTTTGTAAAGCGAAACCCAAATTCTTCCTTTTTATGATTTTCCCAAAATCCAGTAAAGAATACTGAGTTGGTTCTCTTGCCAAAAATTTTGGTCATGTTAACTCAATTTTGTTTAATTTACTTGATTTTGGGATTTGGTTAAATAGTACACAAAATTCTCTCACTATGAACCTGTAAATCTTCCTTGAGTGTGCTTTTCCTCTTTAAGTTACGATGTTCAGCCCAACCATTTTGCTCAAGGAGTCAGTTCAAGAGATGGATTGTGGATACTACAGTTTCCAGAATATAACATCTTAAAAGTAGTATTGCCTTCAACTTTCAAGTCTGTCAACTTCATGTGGCAGCAGGGAACAGGGCACACCCTTGCCTGATCAAGAATCTACTTCCAAGTTCCAACAGAGCTAAATGGCTGAAGAGAGTCCTCCAGCAAGCTCTAAAATTTACAGAGAGATGGGACAAAAGGAACAATGGTATTATTTTACAAAATAATGCTCTATGAATTTTCTATTTCCCTATTGACAAATTATACAGTCACTGGGGCAGAAGCTACTACAACATTTCATATATTCAACATTGGAGTACAAGTGCAACATGAACCAGAATCACCTCAGGAATCCAATGGCTGCTTGCAATCTTTCAGTTCCTTCCCCTCATCATTTAAACAGGGAGACAGTACAATTGCACCAGTGATAATCCTTCATGTATACCCACTTTCACTCATAATAACCCTGCCAGTTCCCAGGCAATTGGTCAAGAATGTTTCCTCTCCCACTTGCTTTCACGTCTACCATCCCTCTCTCTCCTCTCTAATGCCTGCCTGGACTTGCTCCCTCTAGATCCATGCCTTTGAGAAGATCCAAAGCCACCTGATTGTCCATCAAATGCAGACACTAACTCTGGATCACCAACACTACCTGTGTCTCCTGAGTCCTTACTTCCATCAAAATTTTCTTCGTAACTGCTGCTACATTCATCTGCACGGTCACGGGATTGTAAAATGGTGGGTGGCTGGCCCGAAAATGATCGTGATCCAGACAGAACAACTGTTGGCATTGCAGCCATCGATGAACTAGTGGTATTTTCAGGTTGCAGGCTGCTACTATTAGTTCTTGTGCTTCCTTCATTACTTGATCTTCCATTTTCCCTCTCACGATACCTTTCCCGAGGCCTACTGCAGATGAAAACATTACATGAAAGAGGAGGAATTATCAAAGTCGGGAAGATTAATGCCAATTGTCAAATTCCATGCAGTGTCAATTATGTTGTAGTTAGGTACAAATTAATATTGTTCCAAAAGGGGAAGATAGAAGGTAGAAGTTACTTAATAAGCATCATAATGAATAGGATATAGCCAACCAGCCAACAAACAGCTTGTTACAATGGCAACTGACCAAAAGTAGAACATATTCACAGAAAATTCAGTTAAACAGACACAAAACATAGACAACTCTTATTCTTAAATTAGCATAACTAGCTGCTAATATTTATCAGAAATCAAGACACTCATAAAATCCATCTCATCTGCAATCTTGTGTACTTGAAGGGAAACAAAAACGAGCAGACAAATAATACGCCAAATTCATCAAGCCAAATAACCATAGCTTAATTAAGTATTCTCGAAAGTATATTAAGATTAAGAGGTTATCTTACAACTAATGGCTAGAATATAAAAATAATACTATTTTGTCATTATAGATTTGGTAATTTTTTATGAATGAATGCTTGACAGGATGGGGGAACAGATTAAAAAAAATAAAGAAAAGAATAAGTGATCAGTTTAACAAAGATGAAAAAAAGCCATACCTACTATGAGATGAAGAAGGGAAGTCACGCCTTGAAGATCTTAGTCCAGATTCAGCCTGCTCCAACTCTCTCTGAAGTTCTCTCTGCATTTCAGAATCCAAGAAACAAAAATGATCATCCTGTAGTTGTTAAGACACCATCAACTAGGAACATTCATGATAATGAGAATCACAGAGGAACAAAAGGATGCAACGTGTCAATCACATAAAGTGCGAACACTTAGCATGCAAAGGCATCCACAGTACATGGCAGTGGTTCTGTGATATTTTATGGAAAGACAAAAAAAGGAAAGGTGTGTTTCAGAGATAATAAAGGCATTTTCAGCAGATGATATGTGATGGTCTACTCGAATTATCTGCCAATTTTCTAACTAGTAAGTTATACAACACTAAAGAAGGCTTATAAAGTTTTGTAATATCTAATTATGCTAAATTGAGATTGATAAAATCAGCAAGCGCCATGCCTGTGTTTGCCTCTCCTTTTCCATATCAAGATTGTGACGTAGTTCCCTTGTTTTAGTTCGTTCAAGTTCCAACAAGCGCTGCCTCTCAATCTCTTTTTCAGCTTCAGCAGTCCTTTCCCTGACACATAAAAGGCAAGCTGTTAGCAACTGTTGTACATAAATTTCCTCACTCTGAAGTTATATTATTTCAATAATCTGGAACTGAGAAACACAAGCAAAACCTATCAAGTTCTTGCAAAAGCTCAGCTTCTCGCAAAGATGCCTCTTCCAGGTATTTTTGACGAGCACGCCTCATAAGAAGTTTCTGTTGCCTGCGAGCTACTATATCTTCTTGAAGTTTGTTCTTCTCTCTGACAGTAATAGTATTAGATCAAAATTATGACTATAAAACTTAAGATTTCTGAGACCTAGTTGAGAAAAGACCTCGAAGCTTTCACCAAGCAGAGCATGTGAAATGAAGTTTGAATTGTAAAATTGGGAAAAGAAATAGGCCAAATCTTGATTAGTTGGTGAAAATGAAGCCATAATATACCAACTTTTATTCTATGTCGTTTTTCCCCTCGTAAACATACAGCTTTGAACTTTTAAGTAAAAATGGTACTTACAAAGAACGAATGCAATCCTTGATTTGCTGAAGACGGTTTTCATCTCTCACAGGAGCTGGGAAAAAACAAAGTTGCATTATAAATTAAAAGCATTAGGGTGCTAGATTAAGACCATGTTATTTGTACAGGGAAAAAAAGAAATGATAAAGACCATATTAGAAACAGAAATATTACTGGCTAGATGCGGAAGCTGATGTCCTTCAGAGTCTTTCAATGATTCTTGAAGGACACGTTTCTGAATAAGATCCAATTCCAATTCAGCCTCCTCTAGTTCCTGTAGCAAATGAAAGATCAAATAAACCCTATCTGGAAGTCCAAAGCAGAAACAGCAAATGTTTACCAAGCTTACCATAGCCTCTTGGTCAGTTTCCTTTGCAAAAATATCAAAGTATGACTGAACAGAAGTTAGATTAGCAAGGACCTGTTAAAAAAATGGTAATGGTTAAAGATAGGATTATGAAGAGGCAAAAAGTCAGCATCATTAGAGACATAAGACAGTAGACATTCATAACAAAGAAAACAGATTGGTAGAGAGGTCAAAGAGGAAGAAGAAAACTGTAAAATAAGCATTGTGAATATCTTGTCTAATTCCCTACTTATATTTCTACAAAATTGGAATATCTTCTCTCTCTCTCTCTCCCTCTAACTCATAGAATACAGGTAACAAGCTAAAATGGTAGCCTTTAACTCAAAAGGAAATCTTTCCCACAATACTTATAATGTGACATTAAAGCAAGGAGAAAACATGTTTTACCCATGATATGAGGTGGTTACAAATTACCCACAGAAGCACCGATAGCAAAAAAAGATGCAAGATCTTTCTAAAACTTAGAAAAATAAGTGGAGAGCACAGCTCTGCTGACTGCTTCCATGGATGCCAAAACCAAATGCCATAGTTATCCATGCTTGCTGACTGCTTGAATTTTTGTTTTATTTATTTATTTTTTTAATATAGGAAGAAAATTTAGCATAGAAGGCAACAAGAGTGGCCACCCTACATACAAGGCTAGTTCTAACAAAAGAGAGAAAGCATTTTGTATAACCAGAAACTGTTACCAATTAATCCAAAAGTAGTATAAAACCAAGTTTTGGTAAGCAACTATATTTTAAGGAAGATCAAATAGTAGAATAGGCGCTGAGCAAAAAATAATTAGTAGAATAGGCTTTTTAGAGTAGAATTATAGCTGTTTGACTGTTTAATGCAAGGCCTATCTGCAAGAACTTAACAAACTGAAAAACTGTATAGAGATTTAAGGATGGTTAAATTTAATAGGATAGGCTTTTCAGAGTACAATTATGGCTGTTCTAATCATTTATGCAAGATTTATGGAAGACATGGAGAAACTACATCATTGCAAAGAGATATCAGGCCAGGAGAAACAGAGGAAAGAAAAGGAAGACAAGGAAGGGTATGCCAATCGAACAAACTCTAAGAGTTAGAAAGCTAACACATGAATGAAAGTTGTCAAGTCAGACTCCAAAGGACATTTATCGACTAATGAATTTGAATTGAGAAAACATAATTCTTATTAAACAAAGAAATGACAATAGTTGATCAAAACTTTATGTAATATAATCATACAGCATGACATAAAACTGGTACAATGTACTGATATATTAAATACTAAATTGTGTGAAATCAAAGTAAAAGCAAATTTTTGCAGTCAATTCCAGTTGTGGTTGATACCATCTTTCTAACAATAATATAACAGAACCTTTAAAAGGTAAAAATATACAGTTGAATTCATAATCTCTTACCTGAAGAACAGATTCCCGGGTGCTCCCAAATTCTGGGTCAGATTGTTTTGCAGAACTTGAGAAGAGCACTTCTTTCAGGACCTTTATACACAGACTAGGTCAGTCTATTATTATAATGGCTACAAGTGAATAAGCATAAATTTATGGATCAAGAGAAATCCTTATATACATAAGAAGTTATGTACTCATACAAACACTTAACATGTATGTATGGGCATGACATTAGCATATAGAAAATGCATTTTCTTTTTTTTGCAGCCAAATACCATTGCATGTCCTATACCTCTTGCAATTGTACTATAGCATACCTCTTTGGCATCATCTCCTTCATTTCTCAATCTACACAAGACTTGGCATGCCTTCTTCTCAAGATCTGGAAGTCTGTATTCTATAGAAGGGAAAAAGGAAAACAAGAAAACACTGAATAAAATGCACCCAATATTTCCTTATTTAAGCTAGATTTATTTTAAAAAAAAAAAGACAAGAGGACATACCAGCTTTGGAAAACCCTATAGTCTCAATACTTTCCCAAACCTTTTCAGGAATTAAAGAAATATCTTCAGCTGGAGAGTATAGACAAGCACTAGTAATAAGTGCTAATGAAAGTTTAAGTAATGGTCCCTCACAGATAGGATAAACAAGCCTTCCCAAGCCATATAGAAGACTATCAGCTGCTACAAGGAAGGATTGTAACTGATGCCTATCAGCAAATGGGATATAATCCACGAGAAGAGCCATTGCACGAGTCCTCAAGGATAATGACACATCTGTAGATGCCAGAACAGCCACCTGATCCCAGGTGCTTGAGACCAAAAGTGAAAGTATCTTTTCAGGAATAGAATGTACTAAGCCTGGTGAAACTATGTTACTGCAAAACTTAGAAGACTGTACCATTAGTCCTCCATCTACATCTTGTCCTACCAATCTACCCAAGTGCTGAAGCACTATAAAGCGTTGCTCAGGTTCAGGGTGGCCCAGCATTGTAAGAAACATATTAACTAGAGAAGGAACTTCACTTTCATGAAGGCTATGGATGCCTCTTACGAATAATATTGACAACCATTTATCAGTTTGCAAACGCCAAGAAATTTTTGGTGCCTTGCAAGAAAAGTTTTTGATTACAGTACAAATAGAATCAATAACATTATCAAGAGGAAGACCAAGGGGCACTCCGAGAAGGCAATCAAGCATCACAGATGCAACTTGCCAGCATGCATTGTCTTGGAGCATCAATATTGTTCCAGCAAGACCTTCAAGACCAGTTTTCCAGTGAGCTGGCAACTGGTCAACTGATTTAGAAGGCAAAGAATTTTCATTCTTATCCCCTTCAGCATTATGAATTGCTGGAGCTATAGACGACAAACATCTTGAGTACAAAAAACATTGTGCCGAAGTAATAGTAAACTTCTTTGCCAGCTGATGATGAAGAGACCAACATTGCTCAATAGTTGGATAAAGCTTTGAAATGACACCCTCTAAGTCTTTTGTAAAGTCCTCTATTTCCTCTTCAGACAGATTGTAATTTTTCTCATTTAAGGCAATTACATCAAAGCTGGTACTTTCCAGATTTTGAGAAATTTCATTTGGAGTAGAGCAATGCAATATATCCTTAAGAAACCATGAAAAGGATTCTGAGCCACTTTCACCAAGTTTCCCAGAGTCAGAAAAGGGGGGCAACTCAAGAGGAACAAAATTAGAGACCCTTAGATGCTGAAGTAAGAAAACTTTGCAACTTTCCATGACACCATTAAAAGCACAGAGATAGTCATGAAAAGAGGTACTTGGCTCGAAAGCAGTGAAATCAGCCCAGAAGGTTAATGACTGCAATATTTCTCTTCTACGTTGGAAGGATAAATCCGGAAAGACAGAAGCCAGTATGAAAATTGTCAGTGCTCGGCTGAATGCTTTCTCTAGAGAACTATCTTGATTCTCATTTCTTTGTCTGATGTTACTGAAAAGCTCATCAAAGCATAAAGACTCAAAATTGTGACAAGAATCATCAACTAACAATTTCTCCTCATCAGACACCTTATGCAACGAATATGAGATAATTGGCTTTAACAGACGTAACACAGAATCAAGAAATGATGTGTCACAATAGGAGGCTCTACAAAGGGATACCAACACTAGCACAACTCTTGGTATCTCAGGCACCAGTGCTTCCATGTGCTCCACAACAATGGCTTCTAATATGTAGAGAATTATAGCTTTGGCATTTTTTGCAACATGGCCCTTCAAATAAGTACAACTGCTCTGTGAAGTAGCTTGGTCCTTGTGGAAAAAAGGCCATGAACACAAATCAGAAAACCAGCACAAAATATCAGGCACAACAGCAGAAGGTAGTGATTTCAGCTGCAACCCAACAGCTTCCAAAATGATTTCCCCAAAAGCTTCAAACTGCTTTTTCATATTTGGAAAGAATTTACAGAGATCAGGGTAGATGACACGGAAAGATTGATATCCATGCTGCCCATCAGCAAGATCAACGCCATTAGGGATTGGAGAGTCTTGTTTGCCCCCAGATTGTTCAATCTTTAGATCTTCATGTTTAGGATCAACAAATTTATCTACTACTGCAAGCTCATCTGCAAATATAGAGAGTAAATATGTCAGTTCTGACATGTCTGAAGTAAGGAAAAGCCGCTCCTCTATAAACTGTTTTGCATTTCGAGATATTGCCATCCAGCCAAGAAAGCGAACAAGAGGAGAAGTAGAATGAGAAAATGTGGGTATTTTCTGCATCCAGGCTGAAGGAGGAATCAAGTTTCCATGGCGGAAGCCATTGTTGATATTGACTGCAAAGTCTGAACCAACACCACCACCACTTGAAGCAATTACCAATCTTTGCAGTAGTATCCAGCGGCGTTGTAAACCATGTATCTTTTCAGGATTCAACTGGCACTTGCCTTCTTTGAACCGACAAGAGAAAGATGTCAACATCCCATTAAGGTAGTTAGCAGATTGCAATATAATATCAATCACATGTTCAGGGGGGCAATGTAGCTTAGTGGCTGAGTGCAACAGAAACACAAGACACTGCATGAGAATTTCATGCAAAGAATGTTGTTCTCCTTGCAATCGCTTAATCAGAAAATTGCACAATAAGGACTGATTTTGTCGAACCAAGGTGACAGCATCTGCCGACTGTATATCAAAGGGAGACATCTCTATGACTTGTTCATCAGATTCTACAGAGTAGCTTTCACAATCTTCTCCATCGGACAACTTTTTATGATACTTCTTATCTAATTCAGCAGCCTCAAGCAGTGTTTTAAGGACAACCTTATCTCTGTTCTTTTCAAGATGAGATATTGTTTGCAAATTGCTGTTAGTCTTCTTAGAAACCCTTCTAAGCTCTGACATTTCAAAACTCTTTGGAATTTTAACCCCGCAGATGTTCATCTTGTTCATAGTATTTGAGCTGGCTTTAAGAGATATCACAAAGAAGGGATTGACATAGCATTCTGCAGCCAAGAGCAAAGCATCTATAGCAGCATCATGGCCTTCAAGAGAGATCTCATGCTGTGATTGTAAATCTGAAGCCAAGCGCTGAAATTCAGATGCCTTAAGCTCGCAGTCTCTAAAGTTCATAAGTTGAAAATAGTCTGCTTGCAAGTTGTAGTATTCAGCAGCAAAACCAGCATCCAAAACTAAACTGTTTTGAAATTGATTAGAAAATTTTTTCTCAACATCTTTCTGTTCTGAGTTTAAATCCATTTGGTTTAATTCCAGAACATTTTCATTCGGAATGCTACAAACATCAGTCAGCGTGGTACTTCGAAGTTCTGGAGGGGCAAAAAGAAGGCTAACATCTTCTAAAGCATCCATCTTAACAGCAGTCTCAAGTACATCTGTCTTGCCATCAGAGTCACAATGTAGGA